CAGGGCAGGCTGGAGGGAAGGGCAGATCCATCTCAACCCCTTCTTTTACCCCCACTCAGCCTTGTCCTACCTCCTTTTCCTTTTCCCTCTTCCCAGCTGGACTCACTCTGTGCCTGATTCTTTCAACTCTTTACCGAAAACCTGAAAGTTTTGCCCAAGGATGTGAAACTCTGTGTTTAATCAAAGCAAACAGCACCATGGAATAGCTTTGGGCTGGATGATTGAGGGGAACTTTCCTACAAGTTCCCAGGAAAAAATATGTCACACTATCCATGGAACGATTCCTGACTTTTTAAGGATTCTGGTGTGGCTGATTTGCTCTGATTTTAGGATTTTTTTTTTTGTTTTTGTTTTGCCCATGCTCACGTGGGGTTTTTGCACCCATGGAATTTAGGAATGGGAGTTTTTAATCTTCCTTTCCCCCCGTTCATTTTGGCAAACTGTCTTCCAGATGTTGGTAGTTTTTCTCTGTAATATTAGCACAGCAAGAATGACAAGTAATTGTTTTCCTCCCTATTTAATTGTACCTATGTGTTCTTAAGTCTATTACATGCTTCGCTTCATGCTTCACCCACTTTTAAAACATGCAGATAAATGAGTATCAGCAGAAGACTATTTTAATACAGGCCCAGGATCTTGTACAACATGTTCTCTGCAGGCTGCCTATATAAAAATTAAAAAACAAAACAAAAAACCAAAAGCCTCAAAAGAACAAAAACCTAAAAGAAAATTACTGATTCAAAAATTCTGGACTCTTTCCTGGGGAAAAATATAGACAGAATTTTTTTCTCTTCTTTTTTAGCAACACTTAAAACTATCTGCCACATTCCTTGGTTCCTTTAACAAAGAGAGCAAATAAATATTTTTTCAATTTCATCCTAAAAAGGAATATTAGGTCAATCTACTGTGTCTTTTTCTCATCTGTTTTCTCTTACTTTTATTGTTTTCTCTGTGTTTTAATAATTTTCTTGTACTTCTCAGAAGGGTGACCAATCTCTAGCAGACAGGGAAATAATTGACAGTGACAATGGTTCCCTTAAATCAAATTACAGCATTTTCTCAGGTATTAGAGAAAAGCTGCTCAAATAACTGAATTATTAAACTGCCTCCTAATGAAAGTTTTCCATAAGGAACCCCAAAAAACCAAAACTGAGCTATCAAATCATAAAGATTTTTGCTGTAACACCACTATGAGAAAAACAGGGATGAAGGCTGTACTGGAGATTTGTCCACCACTGAGAAGGAAAGGGAAAGAACATTATCCCATTTGACACTACAAATCTTGCTGGGTTAATTACCACCTCCCTAAGCAGAGAAATGAAGGCAGGAAGGGCATTCTTGTGATGACAACCTCTACCCAGTAGCAAGCTTTGCATTTTCCCAAGGCTGAAGACAATTTTACCCTGACAAATCCAATCAGTGATTCTCAGGCATACCCTCTGGAGCAAAGCTCCAATTTTTGAGGATACACAGGGCAAAAAAAGATGGACTGCAGTAGGTCACATTTCAAATATTTACAGTATGGCTTGGCCAGTGCTGAAATGGCACTGTTGGCCTGAAGTCACATCAAGGTCTTCTGGCATTTGAGTGTTTCCCCAATGGCTTTGTGCAGTAAAGTGTTAAGTCCTCCTGAGCATTTTATTTATTTGAGGCAGTAACTTTAAAATAAAAAATCGCAACCTTAGAGCAAAGCTGCTATTTTGAGAATTTTAAGCCATTATTGACTCCTGTCAGATCAGTTTCTAGACTTATTGACTCTAGAAGTAAATATAGACTGAGAGAAAGCGAGGTCAAGTCAATATTTATCTTGCAGATCAATACTTTTTGATACTAACCAAAAATTAAGCTCAATACATGCATATATTTTATGCAACAAGGTTAGGAGAGATCCATTCAGAAAATTTGTCAATTTGAAATTTCCCCACGGAATCCAACCTTTCCTATTCAATTTCCATTAGAAAGTTTGTCCCTTTAAGGGTGGTTAAGTGACAGGAATCACAATTCCACATCCTCCAATCAGGTGAGTAACAGCAAAAGCAAAAATGAAAAAAAAAAAAAGCGAAAAGATGGGAGTTTGGTTAAGGTATTGGGAAGAAGCAGGTGAGTTATGGAGGAATATGGGGACTTAAGGCAATATGGAATGTGATTTATGCAATATTCTACCTGCAAGGCCACTTTGGATGGACCTTGGGACAACCTGGGCTAGTGGAAGGTGTCCCAGCCTTGGAATGAGATGATCATTAAAGTCCCTTCCAACTCAAAAATTCCATCATTCTCTGATTCTAAATGTGAAGAAAAGGTGGAAGAATGTGAGGTGGACTTGCAGCAAGATGTGGCACCAGTTCTGAAAGGAGGGATCAGGAGTTTCGGAGCTGCAGCACGTGGGATGCAGTGGTGGTGGTAGTTAGGGAGTTTTCTGTGTGGACTGAGCTGATATTTCCTGGTGAAGGGAGAAGAATTTGCAAACTATGTAAATATCTGAAAAGCCTAAAAAGCAGAAACCAAGTAATTTGGTGTTTAATGTTCCCACTTAACAATAAGACAAGAAAAGGGCAACTTCGTCATCCACAGTCTGGCACAGCATGGATAGAAATTTTATCTTCCCTTCCCTTCCCCATAATATTTTCTTTTTTTTTTTTGGTTTTGGTTTTGGGGGTTTTTTTGCCTCCTTTAATCCCCTTTTCCTCGTTATTTTTTCCTTTTTTTTTTTTAAATATATTTTAACTCATTTTTTGCCCACCTTTTTATTTTTTCCTTACTCTTTTTTTTTTTTTTTCTTTCATTTTTTTCCCCCCTCAGCTTCTATCACAGCCCAGGATGCATTTGCACCCCAGATAACAGCGGTGACCTCACATTTACATAGCACCTCTCACCCCAAAGGATCTCCAAACGCTTTGCAAGTTTAGCACAGGCTGCTCTCCACACTTGGAAATCCCTTCACCTTCTGCTGGAGCCCAGCAGCTCCTGCTGAGAGGGGCAACACTCACAGCACTCCCCAACAATTCAGGGAAAGGGGGGATTCCTTCTCAAAAAAAGACAAAAAAAAAAAATTCCAGCAAGAATTAAGACAGGCTGAGTGTAATGACACAAATGTGGAATTTGGCCAGAGCACTGCAGGTGCAGTGGAGACTTTCCCTGGAAAAGCTGGATGTGCATGACCAGGAAAAAAGGGCATAAAAGTGAGTGAATGTTCCTTGCCTTTTCAAACTACTGTTCTTTTCATCTGGGAAAAATATGTTGAAAAAATAAAACCTGTGTGGCTGTGCAAAGCCCTTCCTAAGAGGTCATTTCAAAGAGAGTGAAGATGATAAAATGATATATTAATTGGTAAAATATGAATTCATTGAGAATAAAGTGTGGAATCTAACCAAATTTAGCTCTGCAAATGTAGCAAAGTATATTCTTCATCCAGCATAAAAAGGTGGCATTTGTTTGATTTTGGTTTGATGAATTATTAATTTTATCACAGCTAAGATGACAGCTAATATTAGGACATTGAATTATTAATTTTCAAATGTGGCAATAGAAAAGCAGAACAAACACAAATTGAGACACATTTTAGGTGTGAGGTGACTTGCTTACATAATGTGTGTGAGAAAACAAAACTGCAGAGACAGAGATTTAAACCTTGCCAAGCAACTGCTTTTGCCTTCAAACCCCAGGTATGATTTTAGCCTTACTTCAGAAACAGCATTCCTTGACTACTTAAATGTTCATATTGGATACTCTGCTCCTCCTGTATTCTCCAACCAAAAAAGGGTCTCCAGGTAATTCTTCTGGCTGTGGATACAGTTTTGGGGGCCATGGAATAATAAGGGAATGTGTAACCTAGGTAGAACATTAATCTTTTTTTGGTTTGTTTTTTTTTTCCCCCAGGATGAACAGGTTGAAAAGTGCAAGAGAATATTATTTAGTTTATTCTTTTGCTCCTCTTTCCTGCTGTTTTTTTCAACACTGCTTGTCATGTGGTACAGGGTAAATAAGCACTTCAGGGCTTGTTTCCTTAAAACTCTTTCTGTGAGGTTTCAGCCTTAAGAGACAGCACAGGATTTATCTGGCTCCACTACTGCCCTACAGGCTAATACTGATTTTCCTGTCAAATGTCTCCTTTGCAAATATTCTTCCTTCCCAACTCTCCAAATGAAGATGGGAGCTTTGAAGTCTTTCTTATTCCATGGCAAAATAGTCAACAAAACATTTCCAAATGTCATACCTTTTTTATTTTTTATATATATTTTTTTTTTTAAGCAGACACTGGTGCAATGCTGCCCCTGAACACAGGGTGAAACGGGGATCTGAAAATGAGCACAACTCACGTCCATCAGGGATGCTGACAAGTATAGGTGGGCTTTTGAGGGCAGTATTCCCAGGCCAAAGAAGAGAAACAGCTGTCTTTCCCCAAGCCTCATTGGGAATTAATCCAGCTCAAAGCTGGATTAACTTCTATTTAAAAAAAAAAAAAAAAAAAAGGCCACAAACTTGTATTCCACTGCCACATATGGCGATTATTTAGACTACAAATATTAGGCAGGGCTAGCTGGTTGGGTACTAAAGAGAGACTGATTTAAATCACTTATTTTTATCCTGCTGACAAAACGGGGTGGGGGAGAAGAAGCATCTGTCACCCATGTGAGCTGGGAGAGAGGCCTGGCAGAGGGAGAAGTGCAGGAGGGGCTGAGTGTCCCGAGGGAACACGGTGGGAGAGCACAGCTGTGCCCAGGAGGGTCTGCTCCAGAGCCTGTGCTGAGCCATGAGCTCACCTGGCTGCTGGAAAAGGGGTGACAGATGAGCAGGGATGTGCTGGGGACTTTATTTCGTGAGCAGGGACTGCTGGGGTACATTCCTTGAGCTTTTATTGCAGTATTAGCCTCATTACACAGTTGAGACAACAGAAAGATGGCAAAAGCTCCACTGTTACAGCTAGTTCTAATTTCCTCTTTCTGTTTTTAAAGCCTACATTTCCACCTTTCTAAAAATCATACCTCTGCTATTTCCCACAGAAGGGATGCTGAACACTGGAGGAAGCTGATTTCTCCTCTGATCTCTCTGCAGATCCCAAGTGGATTATTGCTGTGTTCAGAGCTGCAGTACAGGTAGGCTTTAAAGTGCAGCTTGCATGGGAAAGCCAAAAAGCATAAATTTATACTCACTCCCACTGGGTGAACCTGTTTATTGCTCAGATGGACTTTGACTTGCTGTGTGCTCACCTGAGAATTTCAGCAGGGACAAAGGCTTTTCAAGGGTTCATAAGATTTTCAGGCATGACCGTGAGCTGCAGTGCAGGGGTGGAGGGAGTTAAAGGTAACATCTGCTGCAGATGTGGGAACACTCCCAGCACAACCCCAAACACGAGCTGAAGCTTTGGCTCTAAATGGATCTTGGCTCTTGGATCAAGAGAAGGAAATTTGTGATGTTGTCCCAAGGAATGGGGTGTATTTGCCAATGTCCCTCTTGTAGGGAGGTGGTAGAGATAAAGTTCTGTCATGGTTTTGGTTCACCAATTTGAGATTGAGCTGATTTTGAGATTTACAAACCCAAGAGAAGTTCCTTCCTTAGATTTGTTTTATCATGGACCTCTGTTTCATTCTGTTAACTTTGAGAAGAAACCTCATTTTATATTTTTTTCTTCATTGTTTGTTTGCTTTCAATTTCAGTGGGGCATTCCATGGTCACACACCTGCCATGGCAAGAGAAATGATTCATGGGTGTATTTCACTCATTCTTGGTTTACATGTTCATGCACAACACAACACTTTTCCCCTCCTCCCATGCAAAACCAGTAGAGTTTATAATAAGTACAAAACAACAAAATACATCAGAGTGAGTTTCAAGATCTGCCTGACTGTGTTCAACCAAAACCTGAGGCATCTCTGCTCTGGGTTTGTACATGCTGGTGGGTATTACACTACCTAAAATTCCAATATCTGCCATGAAGCAACTGTTTTCCTAGTGGAGCCTAAAATCTTTTTGAGGGTTCTCCTCTCTTTAAGAGGAAGAGCCAAAAAGAATTAAAGGAAAACCCAGTCTTGCCACCTTTTAAAGGTGATTCTGAGCGTGTGGGTTTGAATTTCTCTGGTTTCACACATTGCTGGTTATGTTGCCTATTATAAAGGATTCAGTGAGACACACTTTCTCCCAGTGGTATTTTATTTTGACACATCTCAAATGAAAATACAGCTCATTATTTTATACAGGATTCAAATGTGTTTTCACCTGGTTTTCATGCATTAAAATGTGATTCATTTTTTGCTGTAGGTACATGAAAAAGCAGAATGAGTCTGTAATGAGCCTATTTAGTAATTTATTTATCTGGTTTTTAGGTCATCCAAAAATGGGGCAAGTGTCAGGCTTTTTCTTCTTTTACGATGTGTCTGTGCTGAGAATGCCAGTGCTCTCTTGTCTGGCCCTGTTGCATTCTTTATCTTCATGGTTTGGCTCTCAAGAGGCATATTTAAATTGTCATAAACATAGTAAAACTTTTCAGGAGAAAACACTCAGAGACCTTGTTTATTTAAGTTTTGAAAATGGTATTTATCATGCCCCGTAAAAAATCATGTATCAATCCTCCAGGGACTGGGCAGCCTTTTCAAACCAGTCATAAGCTGAAAGTTTGTAGAGGATGCAAATTAGTAGCTTGATTAAATGAAAACTGGTGTTAAGTCTGTGCCTGGTGAAGTTTCTGTAGGCACAGCAGCAATTAATGTGGGGCCAGCTAAGCAAATCTGTTGTGAACACGTTTCATTTTATGCAACATATACACACAGAAAGCAGGAAATTTTGGCCCAGGTGGATGTGCCAGTCTGTTGAGATTACCTGATCCAGGAGATGTTTAAAATTATGGAAACCACAAGAGATCAATACTTCTCCAAACGTCTCTGGCACATTGAATGAATTCTTTTCAAAAGAATGCACTTCTTTTGCAAGGTTTCAACAATACCCATGATAAAGGAGCCCATTTAAACTTGTGATTAGCCAGAACCAACATTGCAGAGGTGGCCCCTGATCCCCACACTTGAATTTCAGTCTTGGAACAGGGTGCAGAGGCTGGATTGAGTCTGAATTTTGTTTCATTTGCAGTAGAACGGCAGAGCTGGCAAGCTCAGGCACTACCAGTGCTTTGTGGAAGCTGACATATGAATTTGTTCTACAAATGTGCCAGGGACACACTGATCCAACAGTTAGATCACTTCCAGAAGACACAGAGTTGGATCTCTGAGCTGACTTCAAATTCTTTATTATTACTATCCAGTAAAATTAAAAATTCTGCATCAAGAAACCAGGTGATGAATGCAGCACTCAGTGATATCCCCCCAAAATGCTCCAGTCTTTAAATGGATAAAATAAATAAATAAATAGGCTAAAATATCGCAATTCTTCAAAGAAAGAAGGTCACATTCCTCTCATGGCCTTTTTAGACTGAGGTTTCAGACAAGTTTTGGGGGTTTGTGCTGGATTTTGCTGGCACAAAGTAACTGAAGTCATTATTGGTTGCAGGAAAGAGAAGGGATGTGTGTGGGAAGGATGGCCAGGCCAACAGGAGGAAAGAGAAAACAGGTAAGACAGAAAATCTCTTCAGCATTGTGGGTAACCCCTGCAGATTTAGTACATGGAAGAATATTTTTAGCTCTTTTTTCCATATTTTTAAAATGTCTTTATCCTTGTGTATCATGACACACAGTTCCTTTTCTGCACTTCTATTAAAGGCCACTAACTTTAAGTTCTGATGTCTTAACTATTTTTATATCCTGAATCTAACCTGCTGATAGCTGAACATGTTGTTTGAAAAAGAGGTCCCAAGGGAAAACACCATAGAAAGGAAATATATCAATAAGGAAATACAAGTAACTGTGATGTGATATAATTTGTGCTTTATTTCTGAATGGATCAGAGGAAGTTTGCCTGTCACTGCAAAAGGGAAAGGATATGAGAATGAGCTCTGTCAGACAATACTGCACTAAAAATTCCTCCTTCTCTGGGACAAAAACTATGTTTCTCCAAAAAAAAAAAATACAATAATAATAATTATGTGTTGATTTTAAGTAGTGTGTGAGAATGAAGGAAATAAGATCTGTAGATACAAGGAGGAATTGTATGGTGTGTTCAGACTGGGCTGGTGCTTCACACACCAGCAGTCAGGGAGGAGAGTGGAGGGTAAAAAATGGGGAGCTGCTGTATCCTGGGTCATTAACATTGGCCATGTGGTGAGTTTTTCCACAGTGCCACTCATTTACTGTCCTGTGAGGAATTTAATGATTTTTTTCCTGATAGCTCTTCTCTAGTTTCTTTTGCTTTTGAAGGTAGTGGAAAAAGAAGAGAGAGCCCCCACTGACCTGCTGGATCCTGCTGCCTCCAGCAGCTCCAGGACTTATAAATTCATTTTAAAATTAAATAAACCCACAAAATTTTAGACATTTATTATGCATCCAAACTATACCTACAGTACATGCTAATGCATTATTTCACTTATCGTGGGTTTGTCCTCACAGTGACATTGAAAACTCTGAGCATCCTTGTCATAAATGCTGATACTTTAAGGAAAGAAAATCTGTCTTTAGTTTTCATAGAGTTACAGAATGGTTTGGGTTGGGAGGGAATTTAAAGCTCATCCATTTCCACCCCCTGCCATGGGTAGGGACATTTTCCACTGTCTCAGGGTGGTGGGACACGCTGTTCAACCTGGCCTTGGACACTTCCAGGGATCCAGGGGCAGCCACAGCTTCCCTGAGCAACCTGTGCCAGGGCCTCACCACTAAGATTTTCTTCCTAATGTCCCATCCTACCCTGGGATGTACCTTGTCCTGTCACTACAGGGTCTTGTCCAAAGTCCTTCAAGTAGGCACGGACCAGGAATGGCTGGAAGTTGTCCCATTTCTGGGAGCTCAGGGGACAAGGTGACCATCTCCTTACCAGCCTGTCTCTCCAAAGACAACAAAAACCAGCAGAAGTTGGTAAACAATTTTTCCATTCATGTAAACTTGTTCCCTTTTTTTCTTCTTTTCTTTTCTTTTTTTTTTTTTTTAATTCCCTTTTTACTTTCTTTTGCAGTTGCAAATGTTTTGAGAATCCATCATCTTCCCAGGTTGATGGAAAGGCCCTCGTGACCCAGCTGTGAGTCACCATTCCCAGCTGGGTGGCTCGGAAGAGAGACAAGAAGCTCAGATGTGTCCCTGATTCCCCACCAGCACAGGCCAGGAACATCTGTCTGCTCCTTCCCTTCCTTCAGACACTCCCAAGGAGGGGGCAGACAGGCAAGTAGGAATATGAAAGGGAAAGGATCAACTGGCCGTGTTATATTAGCCAACTTAAATAATTCCTCTTGGCTGTGGAAACAGTCTTCCCATCCAAAGCTGCTTTTTTTTTTTTTTTTTCCCTTTCCTTTATATATTTTTTCCCAAACAGGAACAATTTATTTCCACTTTTGGGCAGGTTTCTTGGCCAAGGGCGAGCTCTCCCTGTTGCTTCTCATGAGCCACTTCCCTGTGCCCCCCAAGTGACCTTAGAAAGTGCCTCAGGGACCCAACTTTGGTGAATAGCAAAATCAAAATATGCAAATGGAGCTTGGATTATCCCATATATAATCATGCAAACATTTTTCCTGCACTACTGCCTGTGCCCAGCTTCCTGCCCTACTGCTCTGAGTGCCTCAGCGCTGTCTATAGCTGTTGAGCTGAAGCACCCGGGGATGGCTCCTGAAGCAGGAAGAGAGTTCAATCTGCAGGATGGCTTTTCCAGACACTTTCTTTCTCATTCCCCCACAAGATAGTTGCTATTCCTCCGGATTTCACTGTTGTAATTTGGATGCCTCTGCTTCAGAGCCAAGAGGAGATAAATGCCTCGTTCAGCCTCTTCAGTCCACTCTAGTTCTATTTTAGTTTGAGGAGCCTGTGCTACTTGGAGAGTGGGAGCAATTCCTGCCAATAGCTCAATCTTTCTCTAAAGTTTGACATCTCACGCTGGGGAAAAAAGAAAAGAAAAAAGTGAAAAGTAAAACTACACGATGCAGTGCAGAGAGCTGAGTCCTGGAGTCAGGTTTAGGTGACAAAAATATGCGTCCTGAATCCCAGAATGGGTTGGGTTGAAAGAGACCTTAAAGATCATCCAGTTTCACCCCCTGCCATGTCAGGGACACCTTCCACTGATCCAGGTTGTTCCAAGTCCCATCCAACCTGGCCTTGAGCACTTCCAGGGATCCAGGGGCAGCCACAGCTTCTCTGGGCACCCTGTGCCAGGGCTGCCCACCCTCACAGGGAAGAATTCCTTCAAGGTAGAAGTGATGAGGGTCACTTGGGGATTTTCTCTTTATTTGTAATGCTCTATGCAGTATTTTGGGTATTAGCAAAAGCCCAAACTCTATCTATTTTAAAAAAAATCGATAAAATTTCCATTTTTAGTCTGTAAGGAAAAAAGCCCTAAACTTTTGCAAGAAATTAATTTGTACAAAATTCCTTACATAGTTTGTTTCATTTTTTTAATACAGTCTGAAGGAATGACCAATTTTCACAGCAAACCTTCTGTGTAAGCCCATAGGAAAGCACTCCCTGTGCTATCCCAGTGCGTGTGAGATGGGAGCATCCTGCGGGCTGAGGAGCAAGTGGAGAGGAAGTGTCATCCACAATATCTGAACAATGAACAGAGCACCTTCCCACAAAGTTAATTATCCTTTCAAAACAACCATCACACATGCTCAGGAACCAGATGTTGGTATTGTGATATTAATCTAAAGGGAAGGTTGAATTTTATTTTTTTTAAATATTGGCTTTTTGAGGATTAAGTTGGATATTTTCAATATAGTTGATAGAAGAGAGCCATATCCCCAAAACCTGTTTGTTTCAAACTCAATAATTTTTTTTTCTGGACAAAGCATGAAATGAAAAACCCACTGTGGATCTAATTATATTTGGTTTGAGGTAAAGCCCCACATCAGCTGGTGTTTTTAAAAAATATACATGCATCAAAAATTATACATCCACCAGTGTGGAATGGGCTTGGAATAACCTGGTCCAGGGGAAGGTTTCCCTGGTCTAGGGGTAGAGAATGGAAGGATTTGGGTTGGAAGGGACCTTAAACCCCATCCCATCCCATCCCATCCCATCCCATCCCATCCCATCCCATCCCATCCCATCCCATCCCATCCCATCCCATCCCATCCCACCCCTGCCATGGGTACGGACATCTTCCACTCTTTCAGGTTGCTCCAAACCCTGTCCAACCTGGCCTTGGACACTTCCAGGTGTTCATTTAAATTAATATTTTATAACTGTAGCAGCCCCGGTGCTCATTCTGAGACTTTTCTTATTTATCCAGTTGGACATCCTGAATTACTTTTATCATAATGCTGGAGAAATTATTGTCTTACCTCTCTTAGGACATGCTGGAGGGTTTATTCTCCCCTTCCTATCTAAGTAGTTATAAATCCTTGTGCATTAAGAACAAAATAGACTTTATATGCCCAGAAATTTCTTATAATTTCTAAGCTATTATCCTCAAATCCTAATTAACCATTATTAAAAATAATGTGTCCTTTTTAGAACGCGAGATATAACAGCACGATAAGATACGATGTGAAAATCCCAAATATCACATAGTGTAATTTTACTGCTTTACTTTTCTTCTTTTATTAGAGATTTTCAACATACTGCTGCATTTCCATTCCAAGTGGCAAGATTCAATAGTATATATTTTGCAAACTGCCAAAACAGAGCCATTGGATTTAGTTTTCTAATAATCAAACAACCGTATAACGTGCCTGTACATGTCAGGGACTGAAGAAAGCAAATTTATACACAACACCGTGTATTTTGTGGATAGCGATAACCCACCCAAATCTAATTTAATCAAATATTTAAAGAGGTAATAATTAATTTTTAAAGAATTGAAGTGAACCGTAACTAGGAAGAAATGTTATTGTTTATTTTTAATGCCAGAACAGTATTCCTGATGCATTTTTAATATTTCATTAAGGCAGTAACTTTCATACTGTATTTCTTTGAGTTTTTGTATCTCAGTGATACTTTTTTCCCTTGAACAGAGGTGAAATATTGCAGGCAAACTTAAGGCTTGAACTGATACATTCTTTGAGGATCTTTTGTCATAACTGATTAAACACAACCAGAAGTATTTTTAAACAAGTTAAGACACAACACCTGGTTGGGAGCCAGGCGAGGGCTTCTTTTTTTAGCTCGTGGCTGTGTCCTTCACATCAGATATCATTTTCTATACTCTTTTTTGAGCTATTATTCATAATTCTTACTTTTTAGGAGAGGTATTTGCAAGCAGGGTTCTAAACCCCACCACCCCCTGTGCCCTCCAGAGCTCCAAACTGCTCTGTCTTGGTCTTTTGTTTTTTTGATGAAGTGTCTCTCACATTTTGAGCCTTTTATACTCAAAACTGTGGAAGGCTGTTTATTGCACTCTGGCTCCAGCCCTAGTTAAAGGTGTGAACTACCAAAGTGGAAGGGAGCACATGCACATTAACACTGCTGTGGGAAACATCGCCTGACAGATGGATGCATGTTAAATGGATGTTGGAAGGAAGGTGTTTGCAATAAAAATCTTGAGTATGGCATCAGAGGAAGACCACACACAATTTTCCAGCTTTATGTGTGCAGTACATAAAGGGTCAAGCTTGTTATAGTCCCCGTTTTTACTGTCGCAGACTTTGCTCTGCTGCTCTCAACAGCTTTGACAAGAAGGTGAAGCATCAGGGTTCAAATGCCACATATAAGTGGTTCTATTTGAATTCTTACATACACAGGCATGTTTCTATTTGATATTTCATAGCAATATCTCCCAAGAAGGGCTGTGGAGCTGGAGAAGGCTCTGGAGAAAAGAGGGCTCAGGGGGGACCTTCT